TGATGAAAAGGACATCTTTTTTTGGTGCTAGTTCTAGAAGGTGTTGTAGCTTTTCATAGAACTGGTCAACTTCAGCTTCTTTGGCATCAGTGGTTGGGGCATTGACTTGGATTACTGTGATGTTGAATGGTTTGGCTTGTATTCCCACTGAGATCATTCTGTCATTGAGGTTGTACCCCATTACTGCCTTTCCCACTCTCTTATTGACTATGAGGGCTACTCCATTTCTTTTAAGGGTTTCTTGCCCACAGTAGTAGACATAATGGTCACCTGAATTAAATTCACCCATTCCCTTAATTCACTGATTCCCAAGATGTCGATGTTCAATCTTGTCATCTCATGTTTGACCACATCCAGCTTGCCTTGATTCATAGATCTTACATTCCAGATTCCTATGTAATATTGTTCTTTACAGCATTGGACCTTCTTTCCACATCCAGATGCATCCATGACTGAGTGTCCTTTCAGCTTTGGCCCATCTGCTTCACTCTTTCTGGAGCCACTTGGAATTGCCATCTACTCTTCCCCAGTAACATATTGGACACCATCTGATCTTCATCAGAGAGCATCATATCGTTTAGCCTTTTGATATTGTCCATGGGGTTTTCTTGGCAAGTATACTGGAGTGGGTTGCCATTTCCTTCTCCAGAGGACCACGTTTTGTCAGAACTCCCTGCCATGATCTATCCATCTTGGATGGCCCTGCACAGCATAGCTCATGACTTCAATGAGTTATGCAAGCGCTTTTGCCATGACACAGTAGTGATGCATGAAGGGGATAAATCACATTGTGTGTGTATATATATGTGTCGCAAGTGCCTTAAGGTATAATTTCAAATTATTTATCCATTGTAATGCATATGCAGTACATATATGTATAAAAGAATTCATAACATTTGAATTTAATTAATTAATTTTACTTCGATCAAATTTAGTTTATGACTCTGGCCATGGTGACTTTTTGGAGTATGTTTCCAAAAATTTGAACTATACAATATGATACAGTACAGTACAGTACAATAAAATACACAAAAAAAATAGTAATTCCTCTTCCTAAAGAATTTGAGTGCCCTGGTATTTTCATCCAATTGCTTTACAATAAGAAGTGACTACTGGCATTTTGATCATTCCCCATTTTAATATATAGGTGTTTATTTAATCAAATCTTGCATTAAATTAATTCATGCTTTCTCTGAATCTCACATACTCAGAGTGCATCAGAGTAATTCAAATCTTCATCAACAACACTAATATTATTACAATAAATATTTCTTATTCTTCTGAGATTTTTGTTCCAAACAGAAAATTGTGAGTTTCTGATGGTTTATTTTTTATATATTTCATTATATTTTCTATACCAAAATTTCTTATTTTTGTACATTGTATGGAACTGTACCTTATAACAGAGACTCTATCAGTATACAGAAAAAGTTGACAAGAAAAAGCCTCAGTTGTTTAACATGAATCATATTCAATAATTTCAGCACAGGAAGCATTTTATGGAAAAGAAACAGCGGACAGAGAGAAATGGGTAACATATCAAGACTTACTAATACAGGAAGATGGAGAAATTAAGATAAATGTAAGAAAACAATTGACTGCAGAGGGATATAATTTTCAATGTTTTTCATATGCACAATTAAGAGAAAGATTTAGTATAGATAAAAAGGTGACTGGAATTAAACAATATAAGACAGAATTTGACAATGAATTATGTACAAATGATGAACATGTAATTGCAAAAATATATAAGCTTTTGTTAAGATTTGGAACTGAAAATTAACAAGTTAAGGATTGAATGATAAAATGGGCTATGAAGTTTGGTTATAATATGCAAATGAATAAATGGGAAAGAAGGTGGATTCATGGATTGAAATTCACATTGTATTATAATTTAAGAGAACTTTTATAAAATGATGTATCACTAACTTATGGCACTAGAGAAACTATCAAAGATGTATCAATGTACTTCAAAACAATGTTGGAAATGTTAAAAACATGAAGGAATATTTTACCATTTATAAATAACATTTCAGAGTCCTAGGTAGATGCATTGCACTATCCAGAGCTCTGTATTTTTCCAGACATGGTCATAGGTTATATAGAGATGAGGTTCCAAGGATCTCTACTGCTGAGCACCTGATCTGCAGCCTAGGATGAATTCTCACCTAAGGAAGGCTTCTTGCTTCCCCCTACCCCCCTCCACCCCCACCCCCCCCCGCTCAATCCAGCTTTCTAGGCAATTGTAGTTGGTCAGGAAAACTTGTATCAATAAATAACAAAGGACTTGCAGTAAAGGATTGAGATAGCTGCGTAAACAACAAAATCAAACAAAAGTTCTATCTGTAATGGAATTACAGCATTCAACATTTTTTGTTGGGGGTGGATGAAATATCTCTTTTCCTTCTACGTAATGGTCAGATAAACTTTTTTCCCACTTTTATAATAAACAAAATTCAGTTCCTGTTGAGTTAATGGAGATGGTGGTTTTGTTTTATTGTTAAAAACATGGAAATATATTTATGCTATTTATACATTTTATATGATTGTCCACCCTGCATATGAATTTTGGATAGCTAACAAGAATCAATGGAGAGGAATATAATGAAGCCTCTGTAAACCCAACAAAAAGAATTAAAGTAACCGTATTACAGTACCTGAGGGATTGTATAACAGTATAGTTGACCATTTACTAGTGGATTTTGTTTTGAACTTTCCATGAAGACTAGACCCTGAGTATTTCTTTGGTACTTGCTTAACCTCTGTAAACTGTTTCTTCAGTATAACCCTTGTGCCCCTCTTTTTGTGATCTGCAGGATGTCCCTTCACAACTTTCTATGAAACAGATTGAAACAGTGTGCCCCTCCATCTCTTATTAGATCCTTCTGCACATTTTATATCTTTGATCATGGTTTCCTTGTGGATGATCTGCAGGGGATGGGAGTTGGGGGCACTGTTTTAAGATGGTTCTGGTCTCTCCTCTCTGGGAATTTCTAGTTGGTAAAAATGGGGGAATAGAACACACAAATCAAAGGCAGGAAGGGAGGAAGGCAGGCAGAAAAATTGCATAATTAAAAATGTAAGAACTGTTTTCATCAATCAGCCAAAAGAAACAATAGAGTTTCTGGTGATGATTTGCTATTACTGAGTTTTAACTGATTTTGGGAATCACTCTGTTGTAAGGAGGGAGCAAAACTTTCAAAATCCATGAGATGCAAACCCATTGGTCCAAAGTTCTGCATGAGGCAACTTGGTGACAGGAATGGGAGAAGAACATTTTAGCCCTTTTTGGAATTCATTTTTTCTGCAATCCAAGAAGGAAATAAGGACATCATGCAAATTCCTCCCTTATTAATCCCTTTCTTGATAGGAAAGAATAAAGAGAGGCTACAACAATATTTATTCAAGTAGTGAGCTGTGTGTTTCTACAATGCACCTCCACCCCAATTCACAAGACTTTCTTATATCTTCATAGGATACTCATTCTTCTTTACCTTAGCCTGGAAGTCATTGCTGACATTAACATTCCTCATAGGCTTCCTAAAAGTATAATTATTTGTCAGGATTTTCTCATGGGAAAGAAGTTCATCCCGTTATCTGTACAACAATATTATGGCTACATGAGTCATGTGACAAAGTTGTTATTGTTAGTGTAACTTGTGACTTGTTTGTTGTGCATGTACTGTATACTGGTATTTACTGCCACCTATTGGCGTGTGTATGCTAGTTACCCAGTGTGGGTGGGTATAGAGTGCCAATATAACTGGAGCATTGTATGCCCAGCTTTGTCAGTTGCAGTTGTAGTTTTAGTTGCAGCCACTATGTAGGTATGTAGATTTATGGATTATGTAATTGTAACTAACAACCAAGTAGTGTACATCTTCTCTGAGAGTTTTTGACTAGAGACTTTATGTTTGTGGATAAGTCTTGGAAGCTGAATTTATGAGAAGTGTTTTTTTCTATATTTTGTATGCAACTTGTATTTTATGAAATTTTGCATTTTTATCAGTAAACAACCAGATAGTATATATTTTCTGGCTGAGTTTCTTTGGAGAACAGGATATGGACATTGCAGTTTACAAACCTATCATGCTGGTGTGTACTTTTGCCCTGGGTAAAGGGTTTCTGGGAGCACTGCTGTACTCTGCTCAACATTATTATACAACCACATACACATAAATTTACATATTATCTCTCCAGAATAAGAAGGGTTAAAGTAGTCTAAGAAGCATATCAGCGTATGCTCACAGTATGGATCAACAGATAACGAATGGGTTATAAGCATTTGTGTGCTACTCTCATTCCCACTGTCATGTTCAGCCCTTCAACTGGGATGTGATTAACATGGCAGCACAATTTCTCCTTATTCTCTGGTAAGAAATATGACTATATTGTAGTTTAAAAGAAGGCTTAAGAACAACCCCACTTAGTCTTACAAAATCTCTGAAATAATAATGATGATGATGTTGCCACTGAATGTTCTTGATTAACTTATGCCACCCTCAATCCCCCCCCCCCCTCAAATTGAGTCCAGCTCCTCCTCAGCAAAGTTTACAAATCCCTGATTTACAAGATCACCTAGCAAACTGAGAAATATTTCTAGGGGTGTTTCTTACAGTTGTAGATTATGTATGGACAATCACTACAGAATATAGTTGTCCTTTGTCCTCTGTTGCTTTTGTTGTTGTTTTAAGCTTTTATATGCTGATGGGTATATTAGTCTGCACAAGTAGCAACAGCATCCTCCTGAGTTTTAAATAATAATAATGATGTTGAACATTCCAGCACTATATACAATTGGAAAATATGCACTGAAACATAGCACTATAAAATTTATAATAAAACAAAACACCATAGAGAAATTTGAGATCTTCATTATGTTAAAACTAATAGCCAAATTTGTTGATATACTTTCTCCTATTATTGAGTAAAGAGTATATTGTTGGACAATAAATCAGATCAACCTTTTTTCTCTATAGAACACTTCTATTAAAATAATATGGTCCTGAGGGGTTCAGAAAAACCTGCAATCCACAATGGCTGTTCTGCGTTGCCAATGGAGATTGACTTGTTAACAACTTTGGGGAAAATCACAAGAGGAATTAAATAAAAAGTCACTAATGGATGCAGAAGATAAAATCTCACTGACAGAGGCACAAAAACGATGGGAAAAAAATAAAGAAATCTGCATGAATAAAGATGGTGAGTAATTTTATCTTGAATAAGTTATTTCTCTCTTTTCATCTTTTCATTTTTGATCCTAGGCTTTCCTTCCCTTTTCCAGCAATTACAGTTCCAGTTTAAAAAAAAAAAAGATTGTAAATGTCAGGAATAATTCATTTAGTCATTATTGTTCAGGCAATGTTATTTAGGAAGAGATGAAAATCAACAGCACTAAAACTTAGTAACACATTAAGATGATCTATCACCAAACATAAAACATTACTCTCCACAAAGGTAATTTCCAGTTGTTGGTGAACTGGATTGCTGATTTATTTAGATAAAAAATTCACTGACTTGGGTAAATGGAATTCTCTGAAGTTAAAGGCTGAGGCTAATCTCTATCATTTAGCAGTTCTACCATATCTTCATTTAAACTACTTACAGGACATTTTCCTATCATTTCTTTAAATAAGCACTCTTATTCCATTGTAATATATACTTGAAAACTAGAGCTGTGCCAATATTCAATATGGACTCTTCGACAGCATTTTCATTCACTTTCTAAAACATCCAGATAGAGTGATTGATTCAAATTAAGCTGTCAGATAGAACTGAAGGCTCTGATATGAAGCCATTCTTTACAGTTCCAATTTTGTGTATCACAAGGTAGAGATGAGAAGGTCATTCAAAGGATTCTTTTAAAGTAATGCCGTAATTTAAATCCTACATTTAACTGAGGAACTTTAAAATGCTGGCTTAAAAATAATGAAACAGTAACAATTACCTCCATCCACACTTGTCAGAATAATTGAATATGACTATTCCCAGCATGAATAAGATATTTCTATCATTATTAAATTAAAGAAAGGAGCTTAGCAGAGATGGCAACCAAAGAGCAAAAATGGATGGTGGCACATTATACCAGCCTCAACTGTGCCAGTTAAAGATAAAGAAACTGTCTGAAAAAAGGAGAAAGAGAAAGGGAGGGAGATGGTAACATTAGTTATATCACATTGACATGATTGAATATACCTGGATTCAAGTCCAGCAGCTTTTATCTAACTTTGGGGGGGGGGGGGACCTTTTTGTTTTTGGCTCCCATTAATGAAGAAATTAGTCCTAGAAGCTGCTGTTAAAAATTTAACAAAAGAAAAAAGAAATAAAAACACCTCAATTATCTCTAAGATCAAGATTATAAAATAATGCCATAAAATTTTATAGGGGTTAAATATCTCTAAGTCATCACACTGAACTTTAAGAAAATAGAAGCAGCTAATGCTGTTGCTCAGATTGTATGACATAATTTTGGAGAAGTTTTAACATAATCGTCACTAACAGTTGATCCATCATTCTACAAATCACTCCAAACAGTATTGAATAGGAACATTTTTAGCAATTCTTCTCCCTTTTCCTTCTAGGTGTGTAATTATTGCAAATGGATAATGACACATCTGAGTTTCTTCTCTGGGAATTCTCAAAGATTTGGGAGCTACAGCTTATATATATAACCTTACTACTAATACTGTATGTAATGACAGTAACAGGGAACCTTCTCATCATTTTTGCTGTTGTTTTTGACCACCACCTTCACACCCCCATGTACTTCTTCCTGATGAATTTAGCCATGCAGGACATTGGTTCAGTTTCAGTCATTATCCCCAAAGCTATTTTTAATTCTCTTATGAATATCAGATATATTTCTTATTCTGGTTGTGTTGCTCAAGTCCTCTTGTTCTTCTTTTTCCTGGGCTCTGATATTCCCCTCCTTACTGTCATGGCCTATGATCGATATGTTGCCATTTGTAATCCATTGCAATATGAAATGATAATGAACAGGAAGGCCTGCACCAAAATGATTGGAAGTGTATGGACTGCCAGCCTTCTCAATGCTTCATTACACAGTATTGCCACTTTTATTGCTCCTTTCTGCTCTAATGTTATCAATCAGTTCTACTGTGAAATCCCATATTTACTTAAGATTGCCTGCTCTGGTTTATATGTAAGTGAAATTGGAGTTCTACTCTTCAGTGCTACATTAACAGCTGGCTGTTTTGCCTTTGTCATTGTGACTTATGTGCATGCCTTCGCTGCCGTTCTGAGAATTCCTTCTGTTCAAGGAAGAAAAAAGGCCTTCTCCACTTGTCTACCACACCTCATTGTCTTCTCCTTATTTGTGTTTGCTGGTGCCTTTGCTTATCTAAGAGACATATCTGACAGTCCATCATTCCTTGACTTCATAATAACAGTAACATATTCCATTATTCCAGCTATGCTGAATCCATTAATCTACAGCATGAGAAACAAGGACATCAAAATTGCTCTTTCCAGACTTTTGTGTCAAAGGTTATTTTTTTAAGACAAATGAACAGTGCAGCTACCTATTTTTGAATTTCAACAAGAAAGTGAAAACACAGACATAGGGTATAAAAACTTACTGTATGTAGCAGTCTCCAAATTACATTAAATTAGAAAGTTTATTCTATTCATTTATGAGATTCAACTCATCTCTGTTAAGGCTGAACATTGTAATGGTGCACTGAGCCATCTCTGACTCTTGGTGACTGTAGGGACATAGCCGTGCAATTTTCTTGCCAACATGTTAAGAACAGGCCTGAGAGGGAACATTCGCTGCAAGGACACCCAGCTGGGTAAGGCGGCAGCAAGACTCATTTTCTCCTAGCTTCTAATCCATTGCCTTAACTGCTAGACTATACTGGTTCTTTTTCTTACAATACTTTGACTAAAATGTATGTTTTGTCTGATATTTCAGGTTCGGAAATAATTATCACAATAATACTCTGGCACTAACAGCTACCCAAAAGATATGGAATAAAATTAACTGATATGAAATATTTAATTTAATGGAAGTTTATATATTTCCAATATGGATGTACTGCAGAACATCTATTGATTTATTTTATTTACAGGACTTATATGGCTGCCTATCTCATACAATGACTCTAGGTGGCTCGCAACAATCCATAAAGCATAGTGAAAAGCATAGCATGTTGGTGCTTTGTCTTCAGCATTGTTACCTACGTGCAGATCTTCTCAGCTGTTCTGAGAATTCCTTCAGTTCAGGGAAGGAAAAAGGTCTTCTCCACTTGCCTTCCACACCTCACTGGCTTGTTTACTGATTGCATTGCTTACTTACAACCCATGTCTGATAGTCCATCACAACCTGACTTTGTAATTACAGTAATGTATTTCATTATTCCTCCTTTGCTGACTCCATTCAACTATGGCATGAGAGACAAGAGTATTTAAGTTGCTCTTATAAGACTTCTTGGTCTGGAGTTACATCTTTTTAAAGATGTATAAACTGTATATCAACTATGTTTGTACTTTAATGAAAAAGAAGGAAAAAATTGTCTTAGGGAATAAAATGTAGGTGAAGTACAGTACACTTTAATTCACTTATTGCTTTAACACTGCAAGCTTATTTTATTTAGGAGATTGTGCTCCTCTCTATCAAGATATTAAGGACTAGAGACCATGTCTTTTGTGCGTGTGACTTTTCAGCTTCAGAGATAATTCCCACGACATAAGATGTAACAGCTGTAAAATAAAACAAAAGCTTGATAAAAATAATAAAAATGTGATTGAATGAAACTGTTTCTTTTTTCTGTCATCCTTGTACGTGAAGAAAAGTGTTAACAATGTATATATTAGGAGACAGCCATAGATAAATGTTGATTACAATTATGGAAATGTATCATTTTTGCTTGTCTTTGAGGCAGCTTTATTGCAAAATCTACATAATGCAAGATATGTATAAGAAATGTACAGGAAAAATAAATATGTATATTTATGTGGATTGTTATTCACATAAACCCACTGTTTTGTGGACTCATAATCACGTTATTATGACTGGGCATATAAAAACTGAGATGAAATGTAGAATTTACCATCTCTAATTCCTCTGTATAGTATCTGAAGTTAAAAGTTGCCAAAGTCGCCAGGATGAGTTAGAAAAAAATATCAATAATGGTGGCCTTATTTCTCAAATAATAATTTCTCAATTGTTATTAACAAATCTTCACAGTGACCAATAATTATTAAGTTTTGTAGGATGTGTCTTCTTTGATAACACTTCTACATAATTACCCTCTTCCACAAGGCTTACATTTGATAATGTGTGTTCATAGTTTGTAATCTTCTGTAATTGTTTAATCAATTCTGCAATTGTGTAACCAGTTCCATAATTCTGTAATCAAGCTGTGTTTCTCATACCTCCACATAGACTATTGCCTGAGATTGTTTTCGATGCACGTAAGCCAATGTAGATAGATTTGAGGCCAGATGAAATAGCAAATTAGGTAATATATTACATGCCTATAAGAAAGTAAACTGGAAATCCAGAGAAAAAAAAAGAAATAAAAATGTGAGGGGACAAGAGGAGAGAAGAGAAATAAAACATAAGTTAAAAAAAAATTCAGCCTTGCTTATCCTGTATATATGTACTGTATGTATGCATGCATGCATGTATGTGTGTGTGTGTGTGTGTGTGAATACACATATACACACACATATATGCGGTATATGATTTAGAGTTTAACTAAATTTAGCAATAAAATATTTATATCACATTTTCTGTGTGCATGTATCTTATGTGTTCCCTGAGGTATAGTTTTTCACCTTCCTTTAAAATTACACCAAAACAAAAAACAAAAAAAAACCCTCTTCTCCCCATAGTGTAACTTTTATCTATACGCAATCCAGAAATCATCATTGTTTCAGTCCTAGTTCCACAAAAAGCCCATTAGGAGTTACCAGAAATATCATACAAATAGTTTATCCCAGGTCAAATAGTGCTCTGTACAATCTTGACCTTTAAATCCTTCCTAGGGCATCACAGGATTTGATCTTTAATTACTCTGATATTTAAAAGAAGTCTTCAAAGCTTTCACCAGCCTATTTTATACATCCCATAAAGAAGCATCATCCACAATTTCTTGTCACAGCTGTTCCATGTCCAGATCCTTTTCTTGATTTGTCGTTTGCATTCCCATTTTGGTAATCTCAATTTTGTTGCCTTCCATGCCTTCAAACTCCATAATGTCTATGTCAGGTAAAAGGGTTTTTTAAAGTTTTTCTCATTGTCTTCTACAAGTTTATCCATTGAAATCTGTATCCTTTCTGAGATATTAGTTGTTAATATATCAGCCTATGTAAAAAAAACTCTTTAAGAGAGGCAAAAGTTATAGCTGGCTTAACCATTTTAACTTTTTTGCCTGGTCCTTTAATTCCTTTGGTCTACTTGCCTGTCTTTCATTCTTCATAGTGATTGTCCTGTCTGCTTGTTCATGGAGACATCTTCAGTCAACCATGATTCACACTGGAGACCCCACAGTGCCCCCACTTCCAACTCCCAAAGCCAGTCCAGAAGGATATCATGGTCAATGATGTAGAAGGTCACTTAGGAGGTCCAGGAATCCCAGAATGGTTGCAGCACCCCCATCCTGAGCTCTCCAAAGGTCATCTACAAAGGGAAGGTTGGAAACTGGATGAAAGTTATCTAATGCTGTTGGGTCCAGTCTAACTTCAAGACAGGTGGTACCATCCCCTCCCACAAAGTGGCTTTAACCACCACTTGGACCCAACCACATGCCACCTCCTGGGAGGCCTTGACCACCCAGCAGGGTATGGGTCCACCACTCACTGACCAACCTGACAGTCACAAGAATCCTGTCCACTTCTTTGGGATCAATTGGCTCAAACTCTTCCCAGATAACAGGGCTCAGACATGTCTCAGTCAATTGTAAGTGATCTGCCCAGCCAGAGTCTGACTTGTAGTGAAGTCAAGCAACTTATCTGACATATGCTGAGAATCTTCCTCACAGCAGCCCTGCAAGAGCTCCCTCAGCTCTTTCCAACCCAGGGAAGATCTGGTTACCCAGAACAGGGCCACTGGGCAGCTATCTGCAGATGCAATAAGGGTGGAGAAGTAAGTATGCTTTCCCACTCTTATCACCACAAGGTAAATCCTAATATAGGCTCTTACCTGTGCTTGGTCAGCCTCACTCTTTCTCTACCTCCAGTGGCACTCAAAGTGCCTCTTGTGTTGCTTCATCTCTTGGAGCTGCTCAGTAAACCATTACACTCTACGAGATCCACATACACAGAGAGTCCACATACATGGAGAAGTGCGATTCAGTCCATGGCCCCTGTCACCTGCTCATTCCAAGCTATGACAAGAGCATCTGCCAAACTTTGTGCCACAGCTTTGGGAAAAACCTCAAGCTCCCTCTGAAACAGCACTGGGTTCATCAGGCACCTGAGGCTGGCTGATTGAATAGGATCCACCTCCCTGTGGTGAAGGGCAGCTGTGAAGAACCATAGGGTCAAGAGAGAATGATCTGCCATGGCAAGGAACTGATGTTAATATCCTCCAAATCCAGATCATGACACCACTGCCTCGAGGCAAACAGCAGATCTAATGTGTGACCCCCTGTTTGAGTAGGACCATGAATAAGTTGGGCCAGGTCCATGGCTGCCATCGTGACCATGAAGTCCTGTGTTACCTCAGACCCTGGGCCCAGAGAAGGTGAGTTGAAATCCAACAGAACCAGAAGCCTGAGGAACTCCACTGCCAACCCAGACACAGAGCCCAGGAGCCCAGGCAGGGATGTTGCTACACTGCAGGGAGGAAGGTAGGTGAGCAGCAATCCCCAATGTTCCCAATCCCCCACTTCACAAAGAGAGTCTCACATCTGGTGAATCCTAGGGCAGGGCCCTTAGTGGCCACCAGAGAGTCACAAATAACAACAGCCACAGCCTCACACCTGCTCTCAAGTCATGATTGGTGCCACACTTGAAACCTGGGAAGGCACATTTCAGAGATGAGAACCTCCCTTAGTGCCCAAACAAGTTTTGGTGATGGAGGCCAGGTTGGCTCTCTCATCCATGAACATGTCTATAATGTTTTAGATATCAGGTTCATTAAAGGATTATCATATTTTATTGTAATTGTTCATCTATAATGCACATCTGTAGCCTCAATTAATATCACATCTTTAATTTCATAAGTCTCAAGTAACATCAGGTTTTTAATTCACTAGATAATTGTGAGCCAGATTGTTGTACTGGTTCAGGCATCAGGCTACAAATTGGGAGACTGAGTTCTAGTCCCGCCTCAGGGACAATATTAGCTGGGTGACCTTGGGCAGGTCACTGTTTCTCAGTCCTAAAAAGCAGGAAATGGCAAACCACTTCTGAAGAAAGTTTCAGGGAATTGTCCAGGCAGTTGCTAGGAGTCAGCACTGACTCAAAGCCCCCACACAAAAAAATGGCAATAAAAAACAAGAAGAAATATAAATCTCTTATTCATTATGTGGTCCTATGGAGGGCCAATAAAGATAAATGTATCCAGGGCATACAAGGGTCTAAATGCAGTCCTGGATGAAATTAACTGGAATTGAACTTGACTTGAAGGAAACTGCCTATATGAGATGGGGAAATAAAAGAAGGTATTGACAAGACACTTTCAAAAATGTTGCCAAGAAAACTGCAGAGACTTGTCCCATACTCACCCAGAGTCAGTGTTGGCTCAATGGACCATAACAGCCTCAATTTTAGCAGAGATGAGATCAATCTCATAAATCAATAAAATAAACTTTCTAACCTAAGGTAAGGTGCTTGCAATCAGGAGATGGTAATATAATCTTCTTGTCATATGTCTATTTTTTTTCTTTCCTATTCAAATGCAAAAATAGATAGTTACACAATTCACACTTCTTTAAAATGAAATGACCTCTGGCCAAACAGTCTTGAAAAAGCAACTTTGATGTCTTTGTTTCTCATGCTGTAGATTAATGGATTCATCATGGGCGGAATAATGGAATACATTATTGTAATTATGAAATCAAGGAGGGATGGGCTGTCAGACATGTCTCTTAGATAAGCAAAGGAACCAGTAAACAAAAATATGGAGAAGACAGTGAGGTGAGGTAGGCAAGTGGAGAAGGCTTTTTTCCTGCCCTGAACAGAAGGGATTCTCAAAACAGCAGAGAGGATCTCCACATACGTAGCAATGATGAAGACAAAACAACCAAATGTTAATGAAACACTGAACACTACAGCTCCAATTTCAGTTATGTATGAATCAGAGCAGGTAATCTTCAGTAAATGTGGGATTTCACAGTAGAATTGGTTGATAATATTAGAGCAGAAAGGAGTAGTAAACATTTCAGTGGTGTGCAATGTAGTATTGAGAAGGTTAACAGTCCAAACACTGCCAATCATTTTGGCACAAGCCTTCCTGTTCATGATTATTTCATATTGCAAAGGATTGCAAATAGCAACATATCGATCATATGCCATAACAGTAAGAAGGGCCACATCAGAGCCCAGGAAGAATAGATTCAAAAAGACTTGAACAACACACCCAGAATATGAAATATTCCTTATATTTGTAAGAGAATTAAAAACAGCTTTAGGAATAATGTCTGAAACAGAACCAATGTCTTGCATGGCTAAATTCATCAGGAAGAAGTACATGGGGGTGTGAAGGTGGTGGTCAGAAGCAATAACAATGACGATGAGAAGGTTCCCTGCTACTGTCATTGCATACAGTATCAGTAATAAAGTTATGTACATAATCTGTAGCTCCCAAATTGTTGAAAATTCCAAAAGCAGAAACTTTGAGGTATCATTATCCATTTTTCATCATGACCTCCCTAGGGGGGAAAAGGGGGGGGAGCTGTTAAATATTTTCCATTTAGTACAGTTTAGAGAGATTTTAAGAATAACTAAGAAATTTTCAATTAACACATTAACATTTAAGCTACAACATTTTAACATTCTCATCAGCCAATTATCTTGCTTTTTTGTAAAATTCAGTGATCAGGTAAATAATCTCAGTGTTATTCAGTGATCAGGTAAATAATCTCAGTGTTATTTAGTAGCAATCAAGCTTTATTGCTATATTCTGTCTTGAAATCAGAGACAAATGACAATTTTGTTCATTTTTAATAAGAATTTAAGAAACTGTACATTTCATCATAAGTGTCAGCTCTTTATATCACAACAAGTAAAATGAAAAACCTAAGATTTTAAAATCTCCTTTGGAAAGAAAAGTGTTTAATCAGGGAGATGGCTTGAAAACATTACTAAGAATTTTGATCTGAATCCCGATGTGTTCAATTTTGTCAGTGTTAGAGAATTTCAGTTATCATCTCTCTTTTTCTTTCTCTCCTGAATATCTTTTCATCTTTAACAATCATATTGGTGAGAGTTATATCTTCGCTCCATTTGGGCTTGCTGAAAAGCATTCAGTTTATCACAAGGCATGAATTATTAGAACAGAAATATTTTTGAATTTTTTAAAAGATGTGATGAGGAAACAATAGAAATTGGCAAGTCAATTCCTCTTGACAGTGTTCAAACAGAAACTGTATTTTTCTGTCATTATTACTAGATACAACTCTTTCCTGTCCATGTGGGGATTAGCTACATCACATTGTTTAGAAATGTGAATGGAGAGGATTTTATTTGATTCTTTTAAAAAATAGATTAAAAAAAAAAACATAAATTTAAATTTTCTTCATAAATGGCTCTGAATAGACTTAAGGATTTA